TGTATTGTACATGTTTTGGTGCATAATGGACATATTTTATTCAGAAGGTTGTTCTACAACTCGTGATTTTTTTTAATATTAAATCCTTAACAGTCATGTTATTGCTTCTTGTCTTTTACGTTCAAATAAAGTTAAAAGGCAGAAAACACCCACAAAGCAACACAAGTCATTCACCCACACATGTACAGGATGTAGCCACAGCTGCCCTGGGGCTAACTGACAGAGTTGGGCCTGTCATACACACTAGGCTCTTCCAGTACCCTTTGACCAATAACTAACAGACAAGGAGGATGAAGTGTCCTGCCCAAAGAAACAACTACAATAGACTGAGTAGGGCGTGAGCCTGCAACCCTTACTAAGCAGCCACTTAAGTACTTTGTCACTGTTGCCTCTTGATTGCCATTACAAATTAAAATACATACATACAGTACAAAAATATAATAGGCAAAACAACAGCAAGCATCAAATATTTTAGTGCCATTTTCTGGCTACAAATCTTGTCACCACAATGCCATATATATAAGATAAGATAAGATAAGATAAGAACAACTTTATTTATCCCGAGGGAAATTCTTGTGTCATGTACATACTCACAGCAGTAGGAGAGACAAAGGAATAGGTGAAATAGAAATATGATACACAATACATACAGTAAAAAATAATCTACAGTAGTACCCTGTAGGATAGTGCAAAACAAACAATCGGATACCTCAACAAATAAATTCATGACTGTATCCTGGTGAATAAGTAATTAAGCCGTCGGTGCAGGCGATTCACAAAAGTGATTAAAGTATTATGTAACAGAATTAGGGGTAGTAGCAGCATATGATATGATGGGGGGATAAAAACATATTTACAATCAGAACTCTTGGGTGATATTGCACAGTCTGGGAGTGTTATATATATATTACCATATATACCATATACTGTACATAAGCTTCCAAGCTTGGGTGTACTAAGTTAGTACAACTTAGAGCCAAACCTTTGACTTTAACAGTAAATGCAATGTTATCCTGCATACATTTTCAATATGGTATCCACTTGTCAAGGTTACATTCTACTGGCGCTCCTGAAAAATGTGGAAAACCTGGTACTGTGTGTGTGTGTGAGTGTGTTTTACATCAGAAGTTCTGATATTTAGGACATTAGGCCTCCCACACTAATCCTATGTTGTATATGATGCCATCTCTGGTGTGCAGGTATTAGGGGCAGGAATTTCATTTCCCCAGACTTAAGATAGATTTAACTTGTGATGCCATAGATTTAAATTGCCCTTAAACTTATTTGATTTTGAAGCCAGGGCCCTTCTCATCCAAAAACGTAGATATCAGAGCTTAACTTTCTCCAATCAAAGCGAGCTTAGGCTGTGTGTGAGCCCCGCTCAGTCTGTCGCTGTTGTTGTGTCCTTGGGCAAGACACATAACCCACATTGCCTGCTGGTGGTGGTCGGAGGGACCGGTGCCGCCAGTGCTCGGCAGTCTCGCCTCTGTCAGTGCGCCTCAGAGCAGCTGTAGCTACATTGTAGCTCATCCCCATCATTGTGTAAATGTGTGTGTGAATGGGTGAATGACTGATTGTGTTGTAAAGCGCCTTGAGGGGTTCCAGGACTCTAGAAGGCGCTATATCAAATACAGGCCATTTACCATTTACAACTGTCACTTTTGTTCAGTTTTGGTTTTTGAGCTTGAAACTTTCAAAGTACTGGAAACAATTATCTGTGACTCATAATTATGGTCAGTGTCTGATAGCGTGGTGAGGTGTTCTGTATTAAACTGTAATTTTCTGTTTTAAAGTTTCTGGTTCAGTCAGAAAGCTAGTTTTCTTGCAAATATTGGCCCTACCGAGGGTGGGAGTTCAGTGTTGTGTCAGGCTGTGTTCAGGTGTTAATGAGGGGATGTGTGTGTGTGTGTTTGTGTGTGTGTGTGTGTGTGTGTGTGTGGGGGGGGGGGGGGGGGCTGATTCTGCTGCAGAAAGTTAAGCCAATCAGACACCTTTTTGTGTTCTCAATACCAAATTACACATTATATTTGACATCTGACAGTAATGATGTAACCAGCCCTAATTAAATTTGCAGCATTTGCTTGTTCTCTGTTCTTTTTTTTTCTCTCTGCTACTCGTCACTCATCACTAAGTGCTATTGTTTTGTCTTGCTGTTTTGTTCATTCATGTCTAAATGTATTGCTTGGGTTTATTGTGTGTTCCTTTAATGACCCTGTGATGAACTTTTGATATGGCATTGGTGTATCCTGCCTCCTGCCTGTTGACAGCTGGGAAAAGCTCCAGCCCTTAAAAGCTGAACAGAATGAAATCGCCTTGAAAAATGGATGAACAGCAGCTAGTAAGAAAAAAAACCAGGGTGATGCAGGAGATTCTCTTTGTGAGAATAGTTATGGAACAGCATGCAAGAGTCTTATTATGACCCTCTATATATAGAGCTGAAGATACAAACAAAAATGGGATCTCACTCATAATTACCAGCAGCCCTATTGTTCTACCGCACAGTGTGGAGCAGTCATCTCATCTAATGGCCCACAAGGACCATGTGTTCTGTTGACGCCGAGAGGCCAGTAATAAAGACAATGACAGACTATTTATAAGAAACAATATAAAACGACCCAGTATGGCTGGGCTAGACACTATTTAAATCTGCTGTAACTTTAGACCTTTATGATAACCAGCTATCACATTTTTATTACATACTATGTTAAAAAGTATCTGCTCTGTTTTCACAAAGCCCCAGTGGGTCAGGGCAGTCGGCTGCTCATGCTGAGCCAGGTTCTGTTGACAAGGTTTCCTCTCCACTCTCGCTACATGCTTGCTGTAAAGTCTCACACAACAAGTCAGTGGCTTGATGAAATTTGCTGGGCGCCTTGGCCTCCCTGACAGGTTCGCGGAAGGCGCTTTATAAATAAAGCTTTGATTTGATTGATTTGGGTTTTCTTACACTGAAAACTTTGAACTAATAATGACCTGACCTCAATGCACTTATAAGTAGGTTCAATTAGAATGGTTACTTTGTAAAGTCCCTTGTGACAACTCTTGTTGTGAATTGGTGCAATATAAATAAACCAAATTGAATAGAATCAACAGCAAATGAGACATGAGGTTATCAACATGGATGAGCTGGGATTACCTGGCCCTACAGGTGCACATTTCTTTGAATTCACACTGCAAACAAAGTGTTACTTTGGTAAATGGGTTTGACACATAACACATGTGGCTAATTGTGCACACATTTGTACAACCATGCTTTGTTAGGTGTAGAAGCCATTTTTGTAGCCATACAATTCTGCTTTGCTGCACACAGCTGTCTGGTTGCTGGAGGCAGATGGCTGCCAATTCTGAGACTGCTTCTGGTTATTTTTGATGTGTTTTTCCACGTTAAAGGAAGTGTTCCTCTCCGTTCGGGGTGACGGTGGCATAGGAGTTAAGTGCTCACCCCGTAATGGAGCGTAAGGTTTCAGGCTCAAGCTGAAGCTGGTGCCTATCTCCAGTGGTCAATGGGCAATCAGGCGGGGTACACCCTGGACAGAGAGCCAGTCCATCGCAGGACTACTTCAGTCAGGAAAAGGAAAAGCGTCATGTGTCTCCCAACAGTTGCTGAACCTCATTCTCCCAAAGTGTGACACCAGTATTTTATTTATGAGTTTATTAGTTAGTAGTGTAGGTTTTCTTTTTCTGTATATTGCAGTTGTGCTCATAAAACATTTATAAAGAGCTTCAGATAAGAAAAGCAAGCCCTGGGTGAAGATTCTTGCTTTGTTTTAGTCATTTGTTAGCTGGCTAGCTACTCATAACTGCTTGCTGTCAGGACAGCGTATGCTCAATACACAGGACAAATTCTACTTCACAAAGTGCCAAATTAACTAAAATATCTCAAAGACCTGACATCAGACCTGTCATATTTTGAGAGAGAGGAGAAGTAGCTGAAGAGTTTGATGTATAAAACTTGTATGCTTATAGAATGTAAAAGTTGAGTCACTAAAAAAGACTAATGATATTTTCCAATATTACATTTTAATTCCAATATTGTCCAAAATTAATGGTTAACCAATAATATCAGACAGCCCTACTAATTAGTTACATTTATAACAACCTATTAATCAGTGTGTACAGCAGCATGATTTCATCACTGAGTTAATAAACCTCTAAAACGCATTATCATGAATAATTTTAACTGAACATATTGTTGTTGACATATTTTATAGCCATTTCTCTTGCAGTTATTTTTTTATAATAAGATATAGCACATGTGCAGTTCTTTGCCTCAGGCTTTAAGTGAGGTGTGTTGTGTTATCACTTACATGAATAAAATAAGACGTGTATCTACTCGTCTTGCCTTTGGCTTTATGCAGAAACATGTTCATATGACAAACTGGTTCTGACGGCTGTCCATATGGCTGAAACTAAATGAGCGTATAGTTATTCAGAGGATAAATGAGGTCAGGATCCTCTTCAGTCTCTGACCTCTCCTCCAGGCTTACCATCACTGTCCAAACCCTCTGGTTCCCACTTGTATGCAAGTGGAAAATACAGTCGTTGAGCAGCAAAGCCATGTTTGATTAATGCTCAAGTAGAAATCAGCTCAAAAAGATTTATGGACAGAATATGTACTTTGTACGTGTAGTCAGGTGCATCGTGCCCTGAGGCGGTATTTCATACTTTGCAGTACCCAAATCTTTTGTAGATAATGCTAAAACAATTATGTGTGCGTTACAAATATATAAATCTTTTGTAGATAATGCTAAAACAATTATGTGTGCGTTACAAATATATCTATCTGGTTTGATTTTAATTTTGAATAATCTACAAACACTCAAGAACACTTGCCTTGTTTGTAGTAAAACCAGTCATCTTTGTGAACTAAAGAAAATGAACACATTTGCATAATCTGAAAAAGGGTTAATAAGATTATGTAAATGTAATCTTTTGAGAATTAATTGTTTGAAGACTATAATTTAAAGTTCATTTAAAGTTAATTCTCTGTCGTTTGTCTTCAGGGACTCGCTACATTTATGGTCACATGAATGTCAGCGCTACAGGCCAGATGCCGGTGATGGAGGAGCTTGTCAGTGAGAGGTGAGAATGAATCAACTTTTATGTTGACATTTATGTTGTCTGTGATTTTGATTGAAGATACAGTCACATTGTTTGATCCTCAACATAAAAAAATACCTTTTGATGATTACTTGTCCAATATGAGAAATAAACCACTACAAAATTACATGAACGCCACTGATTTTCACTAATAGCTAGTTTGCCTTCCATTGTCTGACCCATGGCCTCAGCCAGATGTAGAGGCAGAAGTAAGTGAACAAGTACGGGTATGGACACTTGTAATATTTTATACGTAGATCTCATTCATCTCTGAAGTTTGATCCAAAATCCTTTTGAATGTACACAGCTGGAAATGAAAGGTGGGTTATTCATTTTTATTTATTTTTCCTGTCTATGTTTTTCTCATTTCATTTCATTTCATTTATTTATAAAGCCACTTCAGTGACCAATGCAGATGCCCAAGGTGCTGAACACAACACAATAAAAACATAAAACCATCAGAATAAAATACAACAATTGTAAAACCAGCATAAAATCAATTAAAAGAGGAGAGTAAAAGCAAAAAATAAAATCCAGAAAAAGATTAAGAGGCCGGGGCATCGAAACTGGGTAAAATTGGCTAAACCTGAAAAGCCTTAACAAAAAAATGGGTCTTAAGGTGAGTCTTAAAAACCCCCAATGAGGGTTACTGACGCACCACCAAAGGCAACTGGTTCCAAAGTGCAGGTGCCAACACAGAGAACACACGGTTCCCCCGTGACCTGCACTTAGTACGTGGAACGATCAACTGCTCCCTGCCAGCTAAGCGAAGGGCCCGCGAGGGGGCATGTCTATGCAAAAGGTTGCCAAGATATGCTGGAGCAGTTCCGTGTAAGGCCCTGTATACCAGTACCAAGACCTTGAATTTTGCCCTGTATTGCACAGGCAGCCAGTGAAGGGATGCCAACACAGGGGTGATATGCTCCCTGCGCCTAGTGTCTGTCACGAACCTAGCGGCTGAGTTTTGAACTAACTGCAAGCGTGCTACCGCACCCTGACTAAGGCCGGCATACAGTGCATTGCAGTAGTCAAGCCTTGAAAGAACAAAAGCATGTGTGACAGTCTCTAAATGTACTCTGGACAGCAGGGGCTTAATTTTGGCTAGTGTAACGTGAGGAAATATGGGTTTTCTGTGCCAAAGGTCATTTGACTCGGCTGGGTCAAGTGCTGGGTCGCTGAGAACTTTCACCCACAGATTGAGACCTTTGCAGACATGAAGTCTGCAAGAGTCTGCTGGAAACCATAACATCTGCCACCTGCAGCGCCAGAAGATGTTTTCTCATGGAACAGTAGTCATAACATAACAAACTTCCTTCCCTTTATTTTAAGTTGTTAAAAGAATCATTATTATCACTTTGCTCATTATAAATGTGTTTAATCAAATGAATGATTATTATGCTTTGGGTAATCATAATAACTAATGAATCACTGCTTAATTAAATAATGTTCTGAGGATGTTTTAGTGGTGACCTTCACACACTCACACACACACACACATCTGCTCTCACAGTAAACTCCAAAACACATTTGCTGACGCACACGTTTTGCTTTGAGAAGAGAAAGGCTTTTGGTAAGTTTTTCAGTTCACGATTCAGTTCGTGTTGGTCAACGAGAGAGAGAAGATGTGTGAACAACCGCTAACGGGGGAACGGAGCCCACCGGCTCCTTTCTCCCCCCCCTCTCACGCTGTTCCTGACAAGACAGACAGGAATAGCTGAATTACAATCGCTAACGCAGACTCGCCCAGAGTCTTTGATTTTCTGAGTAATTAAACTTAAGAAAGCGCATCTGCAAACGCTTTATCATCAACGTGTACCAGGGGGCATCTCTGGACCGGACCAGTGGACACCTTCGTCTTCTCTGCCAGCCGAGGTGACCTGGATGAAACATTGTCCGTTGACGTTCCGGATCCGAACGAGGGTCCTCGTAGGGTGAGGCAGAACACGATAGATAGCGTTGATGCATCTTTTCCAACAAAACCTAAGTTTATTCAAACCATCACTTTTCACTCAGACACCTGTTTCTTCCTGAAGCAAAATCAGACGCACACACGCATTCATCTCACCTCATTTTCAATTCTCACTACACTTTGCACACACGCATCCATAATCACATCACATCACTCTTAATCTTCTGCACCTCCAAAACAAGGTCTATTTGAGCAAGCATAGCAACTGTTAAAGATTGTCCCACAAAGTTGCCAATGTTGATTGTCATTTCCATGTTTGTCATTTCAAAAATCATTAGTTTAGTTTGAAGAATTAAAACTTTTAACTTTCAAACTTGTTTTTTCATTGAACTGAAACACAGACACATGGATATTATCGTCAGTTTATTGATTAAAACAACCTTTGAGTCTTCTTAAAACTATACAATTTGGTTATTAATTTAATAAAATTAATATCACAAATTAATATGTAGAATGGTTCCTCTTTCATAAAAGAGCATAAACCATAACGCTACACTAGTCGGCGTGAGTTAAAAAAACACGATCGCACAACCTGGTTGATTTGCACGTCGAATTTTAGGGCTGAGTCCAGTTGCACTCCCAAATTTCTGATGGTGGTCTTCATGTTGGATGCTAAAGGGCCCAGATTCACAGCATCGCATGGGCGTGTAGACATGCCAGGGCTAAGTACAATTACTTCAGTCTTAACGTCATTCAGATGTAAAAAGTTTGTAGCCATCCAGGAGTGCACATCCTCTAAGGCATCTACAAGCTTTGATATTGACCCATCGACCCCCCGCTGAAGGGGGAGGTAGATCTGACAGTCATCAGCATAAAAATGAAAACGCATGCCGAACCACCGAAGAAGATTCCCCAACGGTAGTAAGTAGATGGCAAAAAGAAGCGGACCCAGTACAGACCCCTGTGGCACACCCCACTTGAGTCCCTTCCAGGTCGAGGAGGTTTCACCTACACTGACACAAGAACTCCTGTCAGATAAGTAGGAGTGTGGCCATTGTAGGGCTGCACCGGTAATTCCCGCCCAATGTTGTAGCCGATCCATAAGTATGTCACGATCGACCGTGTCAAAGCCCGCAGACAAATCTAACATCAAAAGAATGACAGCATCCCCCGTCACAAGCTAAAAAAACCTCATTAAGAACCATTAAAAGTGCAGTCTCGGTACTGTGACCTGCTCTGAACCCTGACTGAAAGATCTCCCAGAGTTTGTTAGTGTCTAAAAATGCAACCAGCTGTAAATATACAACCCTCTCAAGCAGCTTAGATAAGTAAGGTAGAGATAGGTCTGTAATTGGCCAGCACAGCCTCCTCCATCCCCTTCTTTTTCAGCAGTGGTCGTACAACAGCCCTCTTAAAGGTAAGGGGAACCACACAAGAGGCCAGACTGGTATTTAAGATAAACACTATATAAGGGGCCAGAACAGAAAAAGCCTCCTTAAGCATCCTTGGGGGAAGAGCATCATAAGGGGAACCGGAAGGTTTTTGCCTAGAAATGAGTTCCTCTAACCCTGTCATAGATATACAGGTGCTGGCCAGTAAATTAGAATATCATCAAAAGGTTGAAAATATTTCAGTAATTCCATTCAAAACGTGAAACTTGTACATTATATTCATGCAATGCACACAGACCAATGTATTTCCAATGTTTATTACGTTTAATTTTGATATTTATAGGTGACAACCAATGAAAACATCAAATCTGGTATCTCAGAAAATTAGAATATTCTAAAGGCCAATGAAAAAATGTTTGTTTCTCTAATGTTGGCCAACTGAAAAGAATGAACATGAAAATAATGTGCATGTATAGCACTCAATACTTAGTCGGGGCTCCTTTTGCCTCAATAACTGCAGTAATGCGGCGTGGCATGGACTCGATCAGTCTGTGGCACTGCTCAGGTGTTATGAGAGCCCAGGCTGCTCTGATAGTCGTCTTCAGCTCCTCTGCATTGTTGGGTCTAGCGTATTGCATCCTCCGCTTCACAATACCCCATAGATTTTCTATGGGGTTAAGGTCAGGCGAGTTTGCGGGCCAATCAAGGACAGGGATACCATGGTCCTTGAACCAGGTGCTGGTGGTTTTGGCACTGTGTGCAGGTGCCAAGTCCTGTTGAAAGGTGAAGTCTGCATCCCCATGAAGTTGGTCAGCAGCAGGAAGCATGAAGTGCTCTAAAACTTCCTGGTAGACGGCTACATTGACCCTGGACCTCAGGAAACAGAGTGGGCCAACACCGGCAGATGACATGGTACCCCACACCATCACTGACGGTGGAAACTTTACACTGGACCTCATGCAACGTGGATTCTGTGCTTCTCCGCTCTTCCTCCAGACTCTGGGTCCTTGATTTCCAAAGGAAATGCAGAACTTGCTTTCATCAGAAAACATAACTTTGGACCACTCAGCATCAGTCCAGTCCTTTTTGTCCTTGGCCCAGGCGAGACGCTTCTTGCGCTGTTTCTTGTTCAAGAGTGGCTTGACACACGGAATGCGACACCTGAATCCCATGTCTTTCATGAGTCTCCTCGTGGTGGTTCTTGAAGCGCTGACTCCAGCTGCAGTCCACTCTTTGTGGATCTCCCCCACATTTTTGAATGGGTTTGTCGTCACAATTCTCTGCAGGGTGCGGTTATCCCTAGAGCTTGTACACTTTTTTCTACCACATTTTTTCCGTCCCTTCGCCTGTCTGTTAATGTGCTTGGACACAGAGCTCTGCGAACAGCCAGCTTCTTTAGCAATCACCTTTTGTGTCTTGCCCTCCTTGTGCAAGGTGTCAATGATTGTCTTTTGGACAGCTGTTAAGTCAGAAGTCTTCCCCATGATTGTGGTGCCTTCAAAACAAGACTGAGGGACCTTTTAAAGGCCTTTGCAGGTGTTTTGAGTAAATCAGCTGATTAGAGTGGCAGCAGGTGTCTTCTATATTCAGCCTTTTCAGAATATTCTAATTTTTTGAGATACCAAATTTGGAGTTTTCATTAGTTGTCACTTATGAATATCAAATTTAAATGTAATGAACAT